TGTAAGCCATGGTCTTGGGTTTGAGCAGCAAGCTGCCTTGTAGCAAAAGAGCTAAATGACTGCAAGCATTTTTTTCCTGTGTGTGTTTTGCTGAGATTAGCACTTGAGCTTAACTGGCTGCTTGTTTCTATAGTGACTCCATAGTAACTGCTGTAAGAGCCCTGAAGTTTATTCAGGCGCTTCCAGGCTGACTTTTTACGAAAGTTTGTCCTTCTTCTGAGCTGCTGGTGTGGCTGGCGGTGTAGGGCTGCCCCATTGAACCCGTGGGGTGCATTTGGGGCTGGCGTGGCGCCAGGCTGTGCCAACTGCTTGTGCTCCACGTGCGTGCCATGTGCCAGCCAGCCCTGGGAAGATCCGCTGGAAAAGGTGTGTTTCTCCAGCAAGAGAGTCCTCACAGGAGCGTTCCCTCTTTTCTGTAAGCAACCATGGTGTGTTAGCGCGTTCAGCTGATGCCCTCCTACGTGTTTGTCTGGATTTTTTCCTTATACCCGTGAGCTTCTTTCCTCTCCAGGCCTGTGACTGCAAGGCTGTAGGAGGCAGAGGGGCCACATGAGCACTGTCCTCGTCCAAATAGTGGGGAATGCTGCAGGGAGAACCACAGCTGAAGGAGGTGGGAAGGAAGGTATTGTAATGTTGACGGCCCGTTGGCCAAAAGGGAGGGCTTGTCCCTAACTCTCCGTAAAGGGGGGAAAATATTTCCTTGCACCTCCAAAGAAGGGTTCTCTCCAGGAACTCCTCTCCAAGAGAAGCTGCTCTGTTTACAGATCATAGAATCATTATGGTTGGAAAAAACCCTTAAGATCATCGAGTCCAACCGTAAAGATCCTGGCCCAGGATTATTTCCCCTGCGCCGGCCAGAGTAAGCACAAAATGGCCTGAATATATTTGGCAATTGGGTTCTTAGTGCATTGAACTGTGCTCTGTACGGGAATGCGATAACGTCCTGTCCTTTCTTGCACAACAGCCTGCCTGGAGCTGGGATGCAGCAGGGATGAGCAAAGGAGTCACGCAGCGAATCTGGCGTGTCGGGTATTTAGCAGAGCTCGTGGCTGGTTTAGGAATATTTAGATCTTTGAGACCCTTTTGCAGCGGCATCCGTTAGAAAGCAAGCAGAGAATGAAAAATAAATCTGCTGCATTACGGGCACAATGAGCTCTGGATCAAAGTGAGATGGAGCTAGAAAGGTGCTGCTTTCAATTTTGCTGGCCGAAGGGGTTGTGACTCAGATGGTCTGGGTAAACAATGAGGGAAGAGACGGTCCCTCTGGAGCCGCGGCTGACTTGGCGAGCCAGCAGTTATGAAAAGATGAATGCAGGAGAAGTGAACCGTGCTTCATGGCGAGTAGATTCCGCCTTTCTCTTGAAAAGCCTAATTTTAGACCAAGCCCTATTTTTGGACCATTCGGCCGCCCTGTTTAACTCCTGCTTTTCTTGGTTGAAGGGAACAGAAAATGAGTGGACCTGGCTCGTTCCTGGCGCGAGGCAACGAGACCAGCCAAGACCTTTCCCAGCAGAGAGTCGAATTCATCTCTGCAGAGGCAACTCTCTTCCCCTCCCTCAGCCCTTCCCTCGCAGTCTGTGGCTGAGGAAGTGCAGCCTCTGGCTGCTGCTCGTGTTCAGCAAGGAGCGAGCTCCTACTGATCGTAGTATTTTTTCTTTTTGATGTGTAACTGCCAGAACTGGATAGAGTCCTCCCGAGCACGATGCCAAGCAGAGCTGAAGTGTTATTTTGTGCCTGTGGGTAAAACTCCTGTTCGTAGAGCTCAGCATGATGAGCAGCCTGTACAGCAGCATGAGCGCAACGAGCCTGCTCTAGGCTGTGCCTTGGTGGAGCTGGTCGCTTATGCCCTGCCCCACCGTGCGGAGTTGTGTCCTCCCCTCTGGATGAGGCGCCCAGAACGCGTGGGACTGTCACACAGAACCCGGGAAATGCTTGTTTCAAGAATGAGTGTTTCTGAGTGAGAGTTTAAGGCTGTGTCACGTGCAGCCCTAGCGCGGGGAAGCAGCTCTTGGTGCCAGTGCAAAGGCATCAGCCCTCCTGATTAACACAGCCTGCTATCAAAGCTGTCTGCAGCCAGATAGCTCTGGCCCCTCCCCGGCTTTTGCAACCTGAGCAGCTACGTTGTCCCAAACTGTCCTCGGGAGCGGATAAGGGAGCCCAGTCTGCGCGAAGCCCCTCGGCGGAGCTTGTGCACGAGGCGGTTACGGGGTCCGCGCACGGCTCGTGCCCCCGCGGCGGCCAGCGAAGGCGCGGGCTGAGGCCGGGCTCCGGCATGCGAGCAGCTCCTCGGTGGGGCAGGAGCTCCATGGATTTTTCTCCCCTTCGGTTTGGCAGCTCTCCAGGCGCCTGCTACGGCACAGCCAAGTGCGGAGCCGGGGAGGGAGGGACTTGGGCTTGGTGGAGGGGGAGATGCAAAAGGCCCGAGGTTTAATCATTGAACCAATCGCACAGGATGGATTTATTCCTGGACTCAATTTCCCAGGAACTCTACCCATCTGGCCCTGGAGGAAATGCCTCGGCCGGCGTTTCTCTAGCTCCGGCTTTGTGAGTTAAGGACCTGTTGGTTTGGAGCTACGCGCAGCAGCTCTGTCGCAACAGATACATCCGTCAGCACCGAGAAAATGTTTGCTGTCCACTTGCTAGCTTTTTATTTTACAAAGCTAAAAGAAGATCAAATAAAAAAGGTAAGACGCAGCGGTAGCAGGGATTCCTGTTTTGACCAGAACTCTATTCCTGGGAGGGTGCTTTGGGCTCTGCAGTACGTAGTACAATGTGAAATCTGTGAAAATAGGCTTAGTGGTGGTTTTTTCCTGCACAGTTATAAGCTCTCTTCCAGTAATGGAGTAAATGATCTCCTGTAAGGAATCGTGTAGTCCAGAGGGCAGCAGGGAGCCCCTTGCTGAGTCGCTCTGAGAGGCTGCTGGGAAGGATGGGGGTTTTAAAGCTGAGCAGGAACATGATTCACTCGCGTTGCAGGTGGGGCTAGGGAAGACTGCCCGGCTCTTTGGGTGAGGTCTCTCGGGACTCACCACAGCTCCTAACGTTAACGTGGGTGAAGTACCTTTGCCTCCTCTCCAGTTGTCTGGCCTGGCTGAAGGCTGATGTTTTTAGATATGGGCTTGAACTAAAGACGGAAAAGTCCAAGATGATCCCAATCTTAAGCTGTCAGTGCTGGGAGACCAGAACATAAAGTCTCTGCTGTTTCTCCACACAAACTCCCCCAGGGCTTTCTGAGGGGCAAGTCCTCAACTTTCTAGCCATGTCCTGGGGGGGTTTTGTTTTCCTGGCCTCTCCATCAAGGCCTTTGGGGCCATTTTGTCCCTACCCAGCCCTGTGTGTGTGTTTTCAGCGGGCTGGGAGCAGGGCTGCCTGCACCGTGTAGCCACGTGGGAGATCCAAGGTCCTCGCAGCTGGTGCCGGCTGCGCCACCGCCCTTCCCGGGTCCTCTCCGCGCGGTGCCTTTGCTCCCAAGTGGAGCGGCTTGGTGCCGAGGGGCTGCTTCTGGCGCCGCAGGCGCCGCCGTTCCTGCGTCTGCAGTCAAAGGTCGTGTTAGCAGGGCCTCGCTCCGGCTGTAAATCGGGCTGGAGATCGGCGAGCTTCCCTGGGCTCTGCCTTATCTGGTGCTTCAGAGGGGACTGGTCCTTCTCCGGCTGTCTGCCAGCAGGGCGGAGAGGGTGGTTTTGATGGAAGCAGATGGCCAGCCCACCACCTCCGCAAGCAGAAACGTTCTGCATCCGTGGATGTGAACGAGTGCTCGCTTCTCCCCAGGCGCTTCGGATCCCCTTTGAATCCACCTGGCTTTCATGCATCCTGCATGTTGCCTACCCCTCTGAAAGGATACTGGGGGCACCCCAAAATATTTTCTAGGCCTAGTCCTAAAATCACAGCCTGTAGGGCAGATGTGGGGTCGGAAATGGGCTTTGAGCTCAGCCTGGCATGCCGGTGAGGTTAACTGTGGAGCGAAGCAGTAGCTGAGTGGATGTTTTCAGCTCATGGCTGACACACTTGGGCCCTGGCAGCGTTTTCTGGACCCAATTCAGCATGGTCACGTTCCCACCAGGTCGACACACTTCACAGCTCTACTTTGCCGCACATGCAGGAGAAAAGAAGGCCGATGAGCAGCCTGCTAGGGCTCGCAGCAGGACTTGGAGGCCTGCGCGGGGAGGCAAGTAGTCGATCCCGCCTAAAGGGTGGCCGACCTGCTACCCCGGCGCCGCGGAGGCTGCGTAACGCCTGGCCTGTTGCAGGTCGACAGGTACTTGTACCACCTGCGCCTGTCCGATGACACCTTGCGGGACATCATGGCTCGTTTCCAGGCCGAGATGGTGAAGGGCCTGGGCAGGGACACGAACCCCACGGCGGCGGTGAAAATGCTGCCTTCCTTCGTGCGCTCGCTGCCCGATGGATCCGGTGAGTCACCCCTGCGCCAGCTCCTAGGGGTACAGGGCCTGCTTAATTCCCCAGAAATTATCCCTGCAAACATGGCCTGGCCGCCGGAGCTGCGCTCGGACACGGCAAGTGCAGCCCCTACAGCCCAGAGGCCGCAGTGCAGCGAGTGGCCGCCATGGGCACGTGTGGGACATGGGGAGGCCGGGCCTGCAGAGGTGCCCGCACCCCGGCCAAAAACGAGCCTTTTCCCAAGTTTAACCGAATCGAAGGAGAAATAACAGCTCTGGTGGCATGTGGAGAACACTGGGAGGCAAATCCACTGGCACAAGGGGCATATGAGCAAAATCAAATGCCTTGGGAACTGCCTGGCAGGAGCTGAATACTCCCGTTTCGGAGGCTGCTTTCACAGAAGAAAAAGAAATACTAATTTAGAAATATTAGAAATACTCAGAAGGAATACTAGCCTTGCCGTCACTGTGGCCACCATGGGCTGCAAAGCCTGACATGACCCGGGCACTACCCTGGAATTGCAGGGGACCCCTGAGGACACGAGGCCCGGCAGGTCGCGTGTGGTGTCATCGCTGTTGCGACACTCGGCGTGTCCCAAAGGCAACGCTGGGCAGTGCCCTCCCGGCCCGCGTGCTCCCGTGCCAGGGACACGCTGCACAGTTGTGTTGGCACCTGCCTTGTTGACAAACGCCCTATTTTAAGTACCAAATTGATTTTTTTTCTATTTTTGCACTCTCAGTATGAGTTACTTATTATTGGTTACTTTGTTTCCAGCCCAAACTTCTGCCAGGTTTAAGTATCTCCCGCTCAGCAGGCTTTTACCAATTGCAATAGCAGTGATCTGCCAGATTTTTCAGTGCCTGGAATAACCTCTACGGAGCATCATCCCTTTTAATCATTTAAGCATTAATGACATGATGAATGTCAGTTTACTGAATAGCCCAGTTTGTCTCCTTGCCTTTGTGTCTTCCGGCCATAGTATTGCAGGTAGAATTTCCTGCTTTCCTTCCAGGATGGCCTTTTTTTTTTCATTATTATTTATCACATTAGTCAGGTGTTTGTACCGCAGGCCAAAGATTGCTCGAGGGCTGGTGCCTGCCACCACGCGGCCTTTGGGGAAGGGCAGCTCCGTGCGCGCGTGGGATGGGGAGATAATTGTTTTATGGAAGCAGCGAGGCCGAGCTGCCCTTCTGTGCGGAGGTCCTGCTGGTGAAATACGTGTTTGAGCTGAGAGCGCGGCTGGTTGAGATCGCTGTTTTGATGGGAAAGGGGGGTTTGGATACACCTATTGCCTGGCACTGGGGTGGACAATCGAGTCTTGCTGCCCCTGCGCGTTGGCTTCTGCTGTAGGGATGTGTCATCGCTGCTGCTTGTCCCTTGCGTTGCAGAGAAAGGCGATTTCCTCGCTGTTGACCTGGGCGGCTCCCAGTTCCGTGCCCTCCAGGTGAAGGTGTCCCAGGATGGGAAGCAGAGCTGCCAGCTGGAGAGCAAATACTACCCTACACCCAAGGAAGTCATCCAGGGCAGCGGAGCCGAGGTGGGACCCACGGAGCCGCTCCGCCATGGAGCCGCTCCATTGCGGAGCCGCTCCGGGCACAGCCTGACCCGTCGTCTCCCTTCTCCTGCAGCTCTTTGACTATGTCGCTGGCTGCCTGTTGGACTTCATGGAGTCCAGAAACCTGACGTACAAGAAACTGCCCCTTGGCTTTACCTTTTCCTTTCCATGCAGACAGACCAAGTTGGAAGATGTGAGATGTGGGGAAAGAAAAAAAAAAAAAAGAAAAGGGAGGGGAAAATTTGCTGCCAGCAAGTCTGGCTCCTTAGGGAGCCTGGGGCCACGGTGGCCTGGGAGTGGTAGTGCACGGGGTAACCTTTGCACAGCGCTCGGAGCGAGGCAGGGGCCGCTCACTGCTGTTTCACTACACCTCACTACCATTCAAGGGTATCTCAAGGCAACGAGATCTTTAAACTAAAGCTACTGTTGTACTTATCAGTGCCCAACTCTGTAGTAATCTCATATCCTTGTATGAAGGCTATTAGACTTTAAAACGTGTACTCTTGTGTCTTAGAGTGTGTGTGTAGTTTTCTTGGCTTTGGTGTTTTTTCAGTTCTTTATGTTCAATATCTTTACAGTTCCTTCTAAGCAGAAGAGACCTGTAGCTGAGCATTTGGGAGGCTGCACGGGGGAGGTGAAAGGCTCATTGCGAACATTTTGTGGCCTCTTATTCTCCCCTCCTATTTTATTTGTAGAGAATGTGTGCTTGAGGTTCCAGTCCTGAAAGGACTTAACGTTTTTCTTCACATTGTTAATTTGCGATGAGCTTTTTGGACTGTCGCTTTGCAGGGGGTGCTCCTTAGCTGGACAAAACACTTCAAGGCCCGGGGCGTCCAGGGCACGGATGTGGTCAGCTCTCTGCGCAAGGCCCTCGAGAAGCACAAGGCAAGTTTTGTTCCTCCCCGAGGCAAGCTGAACAGCCCTCGGCCGTCCTTCCGGCGAGGGAGAACTGCGCTTGGTGCGTGGGATGTGTGGGAGTTGTCAGACATCCTTCAAGGACATCCAGTAACGAGTGTCTGGCAGTGGTCTGCGCGGGCTGCTCTGCCTCGTGATAACATTAAACATCATAAATAGACATGGTTAAATCCGCTCTCTAGCTAGCCTATTTCTTGGAATAACATTGTTTCAGTATTTTGGAGAGTATTTTCATATTCTATACCGTTGGCAACATCATCTAAGAAACAGAAAACATCGTTCTGTATCTTGTCAGCATTGTAGTAAGAAGGCACTAGTGTTGTTTTCTCATGTGGTGTTAACCACTCATCTTTGTGCTCTCAGGGCATCGATGTGGATGTCTTGGCACTGGTCAATGACACTGTGGGAACCATGATGACTTGTGGATATGAAGATGAGCGCTGCGAAGTTGGACTTATAATCGGTAACTTGTTTTGTTCACTAAATATTTTCTCTTTTTTCCTTGTCCTCACATGGAGAAAAACAATGTTTAGAATTGCAAGCCACAAGGCAGCTGTTCTATGCTGATCACACTGCCTTCAAGTATCAAGGCAGTAGAAGTATTAACTTCCTGTCTTGTTAGGATCTAGTTCGGAGCAACACAAACTTCTCTGGCTGTTTAGAAAATTAATGTGTCTCTGCAGAGAAAGCTGAATTTCTCTCACCTCTGGCAGTAAAGACCAGCTACTCTTTCCATGACTTGCCTGCTTCACAGCACTGTGGTGGCTTTTTCTAAGCTCCATAGATGTACATTTAAATAAATAAGAGTCAAGCCTTAGATCAACTTCTGGTACTTTCTCTCAATGCAAAATCACGTTTATTTGCTATTAAACGCGTAACGTTTCCGCGCTGGCGTCCCCGCGCGCAGGCACGGGCACCAACGCCTGCTACATGGAGGAGATGAGGCACATCGACCTGGTGGAGGGCGACGAGGGCCGCATGTGCATCAACACGGAGTGGGGCGCCTTCGGCGACGACGGCTCCCTGGAGGACATCCGCACCGAGTTCGACCGCGAGATCGACCAGGGGTCTCTCAACCCCGGCAAGCAGCTGTGAGTGCCTCCTGCTGCTGACGCCGCTGGGCAGCTTAAGAGCTTCAGAGGCGTTTCAGGGTGTGCCAGGAGCCCCTGTGGCAATGGGGTTGAATGAGCTTGAGCTGACCTGATCCTTGTCCTGCCTAAGCTGGGCCTTCCTCATCACTTATCTGGACGGCTGCACTTGGGCCCCAGTGCCTCAGGAAGGCATAAGGCCCACAGCTTAGATCCCAAGCACCTTTTGGAGGTTGTATTTATTAATTTTATTTATTATGTTTGCCCTGTGTGAAAACATAAGATGTTTGTACTTGACTACGTCAGGACTCTGACCAGCAGCGAAATGAGAGCCTGGGTGACCTCTGCGCTTCATTCCAGGTTTGAGAAGATGATCAGCAGCCTGCACCTGGGTGAACTTGTAAGACTCATTCTTCTAAAAATGACAAAGGAAGGTCTGCTCTTCAATGGGAAAGCGTCAACAGCTCTGTGTACTAAGGGCAAGATCGAAATGAAACATGTGGCAGCAATGGAAAAGTAAGAGCTGCAGCATGCCCTTGGAGAGTGGCTTTAGTCTGCCGTGATCAGCACTGCTAATAATAATAATTTAATTACAGTTTGTGAGCCCTTGGAATTGATCCTAGACTGGTCATTCTGGTTTTGCTTTTATCTAGGAGATAGATGATCTTTTCTTAAGTAAGAACTGGTGAAAGACGAAGCTTTAACAAAGTCCCGTGGCAGCAAATGTACAATTAACCACCACAGTCATAAGTTGTTTAAATAATCTCTTTTGAAACCTAAGGACACGGGAGGCTTTCTGCAGTTTTCAGCTTCTGGGATGTGGGAGTGCTTGGATTGCTTTGAGGGTGCCCACTCTGGGTCATCTCGTGACAGATTCCGATGTTTTCCAGAGTGATCCCATTGCTGGTATTTCAGGGGTGATTTCTGCATTTTCCTCATGTTGAGGAAAGCTGTGCATCTATTACTTGTTGGTGTGTGGCCTAATTTTCTTGCGTTAAATGATCCATTCCTTTGTTCTGGGACAGATACAAGGAAG